TTCAATGGGCTTCCATCCCATCCCACTCGGTGGTGGCCATGCATGCGTAGGACTCCCGGGCTCTGTGGCTCAGCAGCCCCATCTGCACACGCAGAGCTACTACTCTGTTAGGAAGGAGTAGCTTCCCTGCTGCGGAGACAGTCAGGCTGGTGGGGAGGAGCCCGGGTGGGTTGGCTGCACACACATTGATGATGCCCCCCATGGCGCCGGGTGGCAGAGAGAGAGGATGGCAGGGCAGGCGGGGCTGTGGCTCTCCTTCGTGCCTGACCTGACGATGCCTGCACACACGATGGGCACAGGTGTCAGGGAGTGAGGGAGCAGGCAAGCGGGGCTGTCAGCAGCCTAGGGCATATCTGGCAATTTCCCCCACGCAATGTTTAACCACAAAGGGAAGAGCAATTAAAGCTAATCGCTCCCACAGCCTGGGGGCCAGGCAGCTCGTAGGGCCACAAAACACGGATTCAGCACGTTTGCCCAACTCCCTGTGGTCTCACTGCTTCCCTCCTCCCCAGGTTCAGAGCCCCTGTCCTCGCCACCCCTGCACTCTTCCGTCCATAAGGACCAGCTCTGTGGCTCACTTCCTCCCTCCCAGCTCCCTGGCTGCATCTCCGTCCCTCTCACACACATTCCCTTCATTCTCTCTCTCTGACTTGGGCTCCATCCTTGGCTGACTCACTCATTCTTTCATTTTCTCCCTCTCCCTTGCTCCCACCCCTCCTCCATCCCTTGGCCATTCTGGTGCCCCAAACCCAGCCATTCTCAGAACCCTGGGTTCTAAGGGTAACCAGCAGAAGTGGCCACCAGCACCCCTACTCCCCTACTCACCAGCTTCGGAGCACCAGGCTCGCTGGCCCTCAGCTGCTGTCTCCCTGTCCTGGAGTCAAAATGCCCCCCTTTTCCCAGTTCCGAAGAGGGGCAACCTGAAGCCCAGGGAGAAGACGCCCGGAAGATGAGGGTGGACGCGGGGACAGGCCCCCCACTGCGCGGTGATGCTCCCCCGGGAGACTGGAGAGCCGGCGAGGTGGGGGTGGGGGTGGGTGTGTAGCGCAGGGACGCGTGTGACCCGCCGCGCGGGCGTGTAGGAGTCACATGGGTGTGTGTCACCGCGTGTGTGGCGGGTCCCTGGGAGGTGTGTGTGTGATGGGGTAGGTGACTGTGTGAAATTAATCAGGGTTCCACGTTAGCTACATTCACTCCTCTACACCCCCAGGCCCGC